GCGGCGGCGGCGGCGGCGACGGCGGTGGCGACGGCGGCGATGGCGGCGACGGCGGCGGCGGCGACGGCGACGGCGACGACGACGACGATAGCGACGACGACGACGACGACGATAGCGACGACGACGACGACGACGACGACGACGACGACGACGACGACGACGGAGGCCCACGGAGGCCCACGGAGGCCGAAGGAGCACGCAGGGGCCTCGAGCGGGCGGCCCTCGGCCGGTCGATCCCCCCAGTCCTGAGTATTTTCTTAGGGTGGGCTGCCACTTAACCTGCCCCTCCTCCTCCCTCCTCCTCCTCCTCCTCCTCCTCCTCCTCCTCCTCCTCCTCCTCCCCCTCCTCCCCCTTGACTGTAAGGGTAAGTCGCGGGTCCTTCTTCGGGTTTTTGACTGTAGGGTCGCCTTCGCCTCGTGAAATCCGTGTGGGCTTTTGCGCCTCGGAAATACATCCGTCTTGTGATTTCACCTTTTGCAGATGCAGACCTCGAAAAAATCCATCGAAGCGGCATTTCAGATTTCACCCTCTGCCCTCCACCCAAAAAGAAAATGCTCGGCAATCGATCGCGACGACCGGCGGGCGGCGGCGGGCGGCGGCGATCCCTCAGATCAGACACTGCGAAAAAAATTGCACGGCGTCGCCAAAACTCACGACCAGAGTCCTAGATTCAGGTCGGGCGTGTCCTCCTACAGGGAGGTTTTGGACGAACATTGAAAAGTAGTCGAGGGAAACTCCAAAATGGCCAAGAATAGTCAAAAAGTCGTCCCCCGAATTTTTTTTTACTATCTTTGAATCTTCCTCCTGTAGAGGGACGTGCCCGACTTAACCCTAGACCCCATGCTTCTGCGGCACTCTTCAAGCCGAATGGGGCCGCGAGGGTCCCTGGGCCCGAAACAAGACAAAGTCGCCCAGTGTCAAATATTGCAACGCGGGGCTCGCGCTCCGAGCGCGCGAAACCCTGGGCACATGGAAACGGCTTCGTGCTCAGTACGCCTCGGCTGTGACGGCCGCGCCACTCCCGTCGTCGTCGTCGTCGCCACCGCCGCCGCCGCCGCCGCCGCCGCCGCCGTCGTCGTCGGCGGCGGCGACAGCGCGGCGGCGGCGGGCGGCGGCGGCGGCGGCGTGCGGCGGCGGCGGCGGGCGGCGGCGGCCGCGTGCGGCATGCGGCGGCGGCGGCGTGCGGCATGCGGCGGCGGCGGCGGGCGGCGGCGGCGGCGGCGGGCGGCGGACCGTTCTGTCGATCGATGGATCGGCGGGCCGGTGGCGCGTGTGGGGCGCGCCTCGCGCTCCGCCTGGTCGACCCGCGCGAGGCGGGCGCGCTCCACGCGCAGGACGCGGCCGTGCGCCTCCATCCTGTCGCCCACGGCCTCCCCGAGCGGCGGCGCGGGGGGGAACACTATTGGGGTTAGGTCGGGCCTGTCCCCCATACAGGGGGATTTACAAAAAAAAAAAAAAAACGATTCAAAAATAGTCAAAGAATGGTCCCCAGACTACTTTGGTGACTATGTTTGAATACTCCTCCTGGAGAGGGACACGCCCGACTTCTCGGGAAGCTTCGGGGGTCCTCGGCGGCTGTCCAGCCTCGGGATGCCTGCCAGCGGCGGCGCCTCGCCCGGGGCATTCGGGGGGCGCCCGGCTCGTCCCGAGCGGCCGCCGGAGAGCCGAGCTGTGGCACGAAAACCACGGGGCAACGCTGCGCGGGAACCAGCTCAGGGGAGGCACCTCGCGCTGGAAGCGGCGACACTTCGCCGCTGGACCTTGCGAGAGGCCCCCGATCGCGGAGCTGCGCACTTCTGACCGCGGGGGGGGGGGGAGGGGAGGAGGAGGAGAGGAGGAGGAGGAGGAGGAGGAGGAGGAGGAGGAGGAGGAGGAGGAGGAGGAGGAGAGGAGGAGGAGGAGGAGGGAGGAGGAGGAGGGAGGGAGGGAGGAGGGGAGGAGGAGGAGGAGGAGGAGGAGGAGGAGGAGGAGGAGGAGGAGGAGGGGGAGAGGAGGAGGAGGAGAGGAGGAGGAGGAGGAGGAGGAGGAGGAGGAGGAGGAGGAGGAGGAGGAGGAGGAGGAGGAGGAGGAGGGGAGGAGGGGGAGGAGGGGGAGGAGGAGGAGGAGGAGAGGAGGAGGAGGAGGGGAGGAGGAGGAGAGGAGGAGGAGGAGGAGGAGAGGAGGAGGAGGAGAGAGGAGGAGGAGGAGAGGGAGAGGGAGGGAAGGAGGGGGAGGGGGAGGGGGAGAGAGAGAGAGAGGGAGAGAGGGCGGGGGGAGGTGTAGATGGAGGGGGAGGGGAAGGGAGGAGGAAGCGGAGAAGAAGGGGGACGAGAAGGTGGATAGCACGAACAATAATGAATCAAAGAAGGAAAGGAAGGCGAAGCAGAATAATGACAAGAAGGAGGATAAAGGGGGACTCGCTCCTCCTGGTGGAGATGGGCCGCCAAGATTCCACACCATGGGTTAGGCCGCCAATATTCAAGCACGCAGTTCAGTACGCCAATCTTCCAAATTCAGGCCGCCAGCCTTCGGCCGCCAACCTTCACGCCGTCTGTCTACTGTCCATACGCTAAGCTCACAGCTTCGTACGCCAGTCGTGCAAGTTCAGGCCGCCAATCTTTCAAGACGGTCTCCAAGGTTTACGCCGTAGATTTCGCAAGTCTATTTGAGGGGCAGAAGGTATCGGCCGCCGCCCAGCTTTACACCCTCGGCGAGACATCGTAGATTGCCCGTCGCGCCCCTTGCTGCGGTCAGAATCAGGGGTCCATCGCATGTGTCGCCCCTGGGTGACTGCATTGCCTAGTCCTGATTACAAGGGCAACACGGGCATCGTTACACAGGTTCGTACTCGCATCAGCTCGAACCCCTCGGCGAAAGCCCGCCACTTGGTATGTAGTCATCTGAGTTGCCGCCTTACTAGTGCACTTGACGACGACTTCTCCAGTTCAGATACAAAGGCCAGGGGGCTACAGCGGAAACACTACTGCGACACTGTCATGGCTGGACGCTTATTTTCAGTGGAGGGAGGGTGTGAGATTGAGGCAGAGGGGAAGGATGGAGGGGCAATATTGCCGTCGTGCCCAGATCTACATATGCTCTCGTGGGACACTCCAAATCCAATTGATCGTTGCCCTTCGGTTTACGCACGCACTACACATGCCGATTGGTATCGAGAGCAGCCGCTCTGAGGCTGTTCCGTCGCGCCCCGACGTGCTCATCGCCAGACGCTGCGGCCATCAGGCCAGAGCCAGGGCAGCGCCAAAAGGAGAGAAGGGGGAGGGGGAGAGGAGGGCAGGGAGCGGAGGCGAATTCGCAGGCCGAGGAGAACCAAAGGGGGGCGCGACCTAAGGCGGGGCCTCCTGGGAGCAGTCATCCCAGCCAGACCCGCTGCCACTACAGCGGGCCACACGGCGTGGCGTCGCACCAGGCTCGTGGCGAAGGCGCCTGCCGCCACGGTGCGCGAGAGACCCCACGCGCAACGGCCGCGGCGCGGAACGCACCCGCCCGCATGGCAGGACCCGCGGCGGCGATCCGCCCGCGGACCCCCTCCGCCACGCCCGCAGGAACGGCACGCCCGACGTCGGCGGCGGCTCGCCGCGGCACCGTCTCGGCCGCCCCCGTGCGCCACACCCGTCTGGAGGCCGCCCAGAGAGAGGGGCCCCGAGCGGCTGGGGGCCGCAGCATCGCGCGGCATCGCCGACGCGTCGGCGACGCATCGGCGACGCATCGGGGCGCGAGGGGGCACTCAAAGGGGGGAAGCGTCGGCCTGGAATCGGCGATGCGCTGCCGATGGGATGGACGATGGACCCTCGATGGCGACTCCGCCAGTTCCTGGGCGGGGCGGGGGTCCGTGTCGGCGATGACATGGGCGGTTGGAGCGCGCTCCCCCCTGAGCCTGTCCCCCCCCCCTCACGCTGCCCCCAATCGAACCTCGATCGAATCCTCAAACCTGGGGGGGCAAGAGCATACCGATACCACTGCTTCCCAGACCTCTCGCCTCTCCCGGGGTGCATCCTGACCAAAAGTTCGAGGCGAACCCAGCCGTGACGCCTCCCAGAAGGCCCAAAGAGGCGAAAACGAGAGACACGGATAGCGGCATCGGTACCCTCTCTTCTTCCTCCTCCTCCTCCTCCTCCTCCTCCTCCTCCTCCTCCTCCTCCTCCTCCTCCTCCTCCTCCTCGTCTGAGCGCCTCGAACCTAGATCGAAGGTGTTGTGGGCCGCCGAGGACTGCCCAGGGCCCCCCCAACGTTGCCTCTGAAGTCCTCGGGTGCCCCCGGGGCCTCGGCCGAAACCCGCGCGCTCCCCCGACACGCCGGGCTCTGGCATCCTGGAGGTGGCGGAGGTCAGGCGGCACTCTCGCTGGATCCCGCTCACTAGTCGGGCAGGAGGGGAAGGAGGAGGGGAAGCGGAGGAAAATGTGGAGGAGGGGTAAGGGGGGGAGGGGGAGGGGGAGGGGGAGAGGGAGAGGGAGGGGGGACACCACACTTGTGGAGACTGTGGAGACTTACGGCCAGTCCTGGGGCCAAGAACATGCACCCCAACGCTGGCGCACCGCCACCCCGCACTGGGCACCGAAACCCTCAGCACAAGGGGGAGGAGCAGGAGAAGCAGGCGGAGGGGAAGGAGGAAGCAAGAGGGGCAGGTGGAGGAGGGGGAGGAGGAACAAGGAGGAGGAGAAGGCGAAGAAGGTGGCGACAATAATATTTGCAGCAATGACTACCGCGGCAGCAACATCGGCCACGGTCACAACAAACAAATCGACAACGACGAGGACGACGACGACGACGACGACGACGACGACGACGACGACGACGACGCGGGCGAGGCCGTTACCTACATCAACAGAAGAAGCAACAGCAGCAACATCAAAACTCACAGTATCTCTCTCTCTCTCTTTGTACCGTACTGCATGCAACACCTCCGCAGAAAATCACGACTCTGGCCACTGTCCCGTCAGCCCCGCGCGAATGGCAGAAGCTGCAGCACGCAGAGCAAGCCGCGCGAGATGCACCCCGAGGCTCGACAGCCGTGCGCACTCGCGCTCCACCACCCCATCCGCGCCCCGCCACCTCGTCCCTCGTCCTCGCCCTGCTCCTGGAAGGAGGCGGGGAAGTGAAAGCCGGCGGTTCAGGGATGGGGCCCCGAGGGAGGGGGCCCCAGGCGATGGGGATCCCAGGTTGAAATTCACATCGTAAGGGCCCCTCGTCCTCAGAGCTCCCCCTCTCCCAGGGCCCCCGCTGAGAGCCGCCGAGATGGAAGGTGGGGAGGCAGAGGGGCGATGGGCTCGCCCAAGCAAGAGGCGCCACGGCTACTCGTCGTAGGATCCGCCCTCGCTCCAGTCTTTGTCGAAAGCCTGGAGACTGGCCCGGATTTCGTCGTCGCCTTTGGCCAGCACGCGTTCTGGCTGACAATATATCTGCCAGCAGTTCGCGTAACTTCCATAATCAAAGGGATTCGTCCTGTAGTAGTTCTTGACGTGCTCATTAGTTGTCAAATTCTGCATAGTAATCACCGTGTGATAGATGGAAAGGAGCAGCACCGCGACGAGCAAGAGAAAACAGTAAAGCGTGAATCCGATCAGCTCGGGCTTCTCGAACACAGTCCACAGCCAAGTCACCATGTCGGGATCCTTATTCCTCTGGTTTTTCTCGTGCCAAATCATGAACACTACATATACGCACGCGATCAAGAATATCGTGGCACTGTAAATCCCACCACCCCTCTGGGCGTCGGGAGAGTGGGGCGTGAGCTGTTCCAACCTCCTTCGTCCCCTTCGGGGAGAAAGTTACCTCTCCCCCTCCCCCCTCTCCTTGGAACTGGAGGGGGGTGCCGCGAGGGGTTACGAGCGTCCAAGATGGCCCAAGATGACCCAAAGAGATCCCCAGGCAGCCCAGGATGGCCCAAGGTGGACTCCAAGAACGTACACTGTAGCCCAAGTTGATTCAAGATAGCTTCCAGCATGTCTCCAAGAGCGCCCGTAAGACCTCCCCAGAACGGCGCCGAATGCTCCCGAGAAGCCAAGATCCTTCCTTCCAACGTGCATGGAAAAAGAAGCGGTTTGGGCCTTCTGGCCTCTTCGCTTCTCATTAGCTCTTGAAGCCTCACGATGGCTCGAAGGTTGTCCACGAGGGCCCAGGGAGGGGCCCAAGGAAGCTCCAAGGCGGTCCCAAGAGCGCCCAGAAGCGCTCCAAGAGCGCCCCAAGAGGGCCCCAGGAGGCAACTGCTCGGACTCCGACGGTGGGGCCAAAATCGATTCCCCCCCTCTGAAATCAATGGCCTCCGAGGTGGCGCCGAGAGGGCCCCCAAGGTTCCATGAGAGCCCCAGGAGATCCCAAAAAGGGCCTCAAGGGAGCCCCAAGAAAGCCCCAAAGGCCTCCAAAATGGCTCCAACATGGCCCAAGCAAGCTGCCAACGATATCGAAAGACCCGCGAAGGTATTCATGGTTGACTTCTGGGCTTGCTTGAGCTGCTCCCGATCTTCTGTTTGACGGCTGCCCCCCCCCTCTTTGTTTCACTGCGTGTTCCCACACTTCCCTGACCAGTGCAACTCGCCTAGACAGCGCTGCTGGATAGGCTGGTGGAGATGCGCGAAGCGTCAAGAATTAAGGTGACGAAGGCCCTGTAATTGTACAGCCCGACGCAATTGCCCAGCCACGTGCAATGGTGGTCGAAGCGCAGGACGCAGTTATCGCAGAAAGAACAGTGCTTCGCCCTCGGCGGTCTGAAGATCATACAAGTGGTGCAAAACTTTTGCCTCACCGTCACGCCGCCGTTTGGATTGCCCGGGTTCGGGTCTGGTAACAGCAAGAAACGTTGGTGCGGGTGGCCAGTGGCGTGGTTCAGCGCGTTACCGTCCTCGAAGTCCGGGATCTTGTTTCTCCTGGGCACGATCCCAGGGTTCATGAAGGCCGCAAAGAAAAACGATACCACGATCGCCACGGAAAGAACGATCTGCATGCCCTTGACGACGTGGCAGTCTTTGAACTGGGGCAGGACCTGGCTCCAGTAAAAGATGCCCGGGAGCAATGTGAAGAGGGTCGTATTGACGGTGTTGGGCCACAGCTGGCCCGCGGCGAATCGGCCGCCCACACAGACGGTGCTGCCGCCGCGGTAGTCGCTCCCCGTGAGGTAAGCCTTGAACTCATCCTCCGGTCCACAATTCGGCAGGAGCGGGTTCCACCTCGTAAACGTACTCGCGGGGGCCTTGTCTGCTGCCCCGTCGAGCTTCAGGAGGGGCTCGGAGTAGTCGAGATACCTAGACATGGCACGCCGGAGCTCCGCGCACGCCCCCGGGCAGCGGCGGAGCAAAAGGGGGGGGCGCCCAGCGAAGCCGGCCTGGGGAGCCGCCAGCGGCTTGAGCCAAAACAGCTACGGACAGGGACCCTCGCACGGCTGATCAGCCTACAGGCCTGCCGATTGGACAAAGGGGGGCGCGGAGGAAAATGAGGAGGCAGAGAGAGGCAAGGGATGAGCAGCAGCAGCAGCAGCAGCAGCAGCAGCAACCGGAAGACGAGGAGGAAGAGCACTCGGCGATGCAAGGACAGGGCCCTGGAGGCATGGGGCCGCAAGGACGGCTCGGCCCCAAACAGTGAAGGTTCAGCTTCGAATCCACTTCCTATACTGAAGGCCCCATCCCAAAGGGCCCGATCTTTGAACAGGCGAGGCATCTTCAGCAGAAGAGGGACCGAGGACGGGCAAACGGTGCTGCCCGTGACGGCGTGCGCGATACTGCATTATCCTGCTGCTGCTTCTTCTCCCCCTCCTCTTCGTCCTCCTCCTCCACCTCCTCCTCCTCCTCCTCCTCCTCCCCCTCCTCCTCCATCCTCCGTTCTACTCCTCCCATCTCATCCACTTACGTTCTCGCTCCCGTTCCCACTCCATTCTCATTCCTGCTCCACATCCTCCGCATCCTCCAACTCCACCCCCATCCATTTTCCTTATGAATGACTCCCCCTCGTCGCACCCCCAGGCGTGTCGGTAGGGCGGGCCGGGCGTTTCGCCTTCGACTTCCACACTATGAGGAATATCTATGTGCAACCAATGCCCGCATCGGAGCTGGACTGTCGCAAAAACAACAATCCGGACCACACCGACAACAGGCCACACCGTTTGCCTGGTCTTGGAGGGAGGAAGGGGGGGGGCGGCGGTGGTCGCTGCATAAGAGAAACAGGTCCCGAGCATAGCAGCGCGCACTACGACCACGACGACGCCGCCGCCGCCGACGACGACGACGACGTCGTTCAAAACGAAGAGACGACCAAAGGATGGCCGTGAAAGACATAGAAAAATATCCGATTGCTTCAAAAACCGACAAAACTCTTCGAACCTATCCTCCGCCTCCTCCTCCTCCTCCCCTCCTCCTCCTCCTCCTCCTCCTCCTCCTCCTCCTCCTCCTCCCTCCTCCTCTCCTCCTCTCCTCTCCTCCTCTCCTCCTCCTCCTCCTCCTCCTCCTCCTCTCCCTCCTCCTCCTCCTCCTCCTCCTCCTCCTCCTCCTCCTCCTCCTCCTCCTCTCCTCCTCCTCTCCTCCTCTTCCTCCCCGGAAGGGAAGGGAAGGGAAGGAGAGGAGGAGGAGAAGGAGGAGGACGAGGAGGAGGAGGAGGAGGAGGAGGAGGACATCGAGGCGGACCAGGAAGAAGACGAGGAGCAGAAACAGCAGAGAACGCCTTGGTCGCCACACTGTCCAGGAGGCCCCTCGTCTGGACGATGCTGGCCATCTGCTTCGTGACCGAGGAGGGTACGGAGAGGGCAGCGGGAGGAGAAGCAGGAGGGGAGGAGGAGGATGAGGAGGAGGAGGAGGAGCAGCAGCAGCAGGAGGAGCAGTAGGACAAGGAGCAGGAGGGGAGTGGAGGATGAGGAGGATGAGGGCACTGGCGACGACAACGAAAAGGGTCCGTCCACAGCTGCCCATAGGCCGAGCAGAGCACAGGTGCGGCGCACCTTGCAGCCCGACGAGAAGGAAAAGAAACGGAAAGAAGAAAAGGAGAAGGAGGAGGACGAGGAGGGCGAGGACGATGCACAGTCAAAGACCATGGCAAGGATGCAAGACCACTGGACGCCCACATCGAATCAGCTGCGTTGGCGTCCAGCTGAACTCCCTGGACTGATCCTCGCAGACCTGCAGCGATGCCGAGCGGAAGAGTCACAAAAGGGTAACCCTGTGAAGCGCTGCGTCCATACGGCGGACTTTGGCCTGCGAGTGCAGAGGAGAGCGAGGAGGAGCAGCGCCGCGGGAGCAGGAGTGGGAAGAGGAGAGGAGGAGGAGCAGAGAGAGGAAGAGGCGGAGGGGAAAGGAGAGGAGGAGTAGGAGGAGGGAGGGGGGGAAAGGGGAGGGGAGGGGGAGGAGGGGAGGGGGACAAGACAGGTTAGGAGAAAAGTTGATGTCAAGGAACGGCTGCGTCCTGAGGTCCAAAGTCCGCGAAGAGGAGAGGGGAGGGGAGATGAGAAGAAGAGGGAGGGGGGAGGAGGAGGAGGAGGAGGAGGAGGAGGAGAAGAAGGAGGAGGAGAAGAAGGAGGAGGAGGAGGAGGAGGGCAGGGAAGGAGCGGGGAGGACGAGGCAGTGGGAGGAGGGAGGGGTGGAAGAAGACGAAATGTAGGATGGTGTTTAACCTCTACTGCTACATGCCCTCAATCAAGAGGCCCAAGATGAGGAAAGGAAGCTAACATTCCTCTCCCTCTTGGCCTGCTGGAGGGGCCTGCCGTTGCACACGTACTTCCAGGTAGTCCTCCCAGCGCCAGCCTCCTCCTTATCCGAGCAAGGGGAGGCGAGCTTGACGATCCTGCCACCCGTGCTGATTCGGCGGCAACCCACGGAGATGCAAAGAAACGAGAAACCGGAGCAACCCATAGGCGCACAGCGAAGGCCATGAGCAGCGAACATCTCTGGATTCGCCCGAGGGGCACAGCACGCATGCCTGGAGGGGGGCGGCCTTGACCTGTTCCTTCCCTCGCAAGCGAACTTCACACTGCCAAAAGGTCGAGACCCAGCTCCAGGCATGTTACGGTGCCCAGCTTCTGCCGGGCCGCACTCGGCCACACGGGGAGGACCCTGGCGACCAGGAGGGCAACGGCACGCGAAATTCGAATATACCGATCGATGCGCCCCCTGGTCTCGGGGCCGGGGTCGGGGTGCAGGTGGGCTCCGTTCTTGGCCTCCACATCTGCAAAATCGTCGCCTACTCGACGGTAGGTCTCCTCGGGAGAAATACGTTCCTCGTTGGTGTGTTTGTGAGCGGCCGTCTTGGAGACACTCTGGATAATCCCGACAACCCCAAAAAAGACGTCAACCACAGAGCCGGCACAAGCCATGAGGCCAAAGACCATGTCCGCGGGAACTGTCTGGGTCACTGAGACGACGCCAGCACCATCAGATAGGAAACGGGCGCCCTCATCTGCATTCTTACCTGCAGCCGCGAAAACACAGAATTCACCAGCATGTGGAGCCGAAGCACGCGGCCCCAGACGGGCCCATACATCCAGACCAAAAAGCCCCTTCCAGGGAAACCTTCGCCACTCCCCACCCAGACCGACTGAATTCCTTGATTGCACTCTTGAAGCAGCTGTCGCTCTGGAAAAAGCATCCCGAGAAAGGCCCACCGAAGTCTACCGGAAATCCTCAAAAAACACATCCAACATCCCGTCCCTCGACCGGAGGCTCGGGCAGGAAGTCCCATGGGTGTGACAAGACGCAGATCGGGAACGCGATGAGATCAGGCGAGTCCTGATTCAAGGCCTCCTGCGTGAGCTCCTGAAGCCTCTTCAGCCTCAAAGGCAACACACACACACACACACCCATGGCCCGTGAAACATGGTGGCGGAGAGCAGACCGCACTTCGCACAAAGGTTACAGACCTGATATCATGTGGCCGAGGACCGAATACATTGAAGGGGCCCTGGGACACACAAATGAATACACACAAATAAAAAGATTCCCCCTATTTTCCCATATGTTTGGGGTTTCTGTCTTCCCCCCCACTTCCCAGATTCTCCCATATTTTCTGGGGAATCGAGGATTAGTTGTGTCTGTGTGTTTCTTTTCCTCCTGATACATTCTTTCCCGAAAGTAGTACATTGCGACGACCAGCGCGACTGCTGGACCACATCGAAGCACAGCCTGTGAAGGTCGCCTAAAGAAGGGGTGGCACACAAAGCTGGCGGCATCTCCTGAACTCGCAGCGCGAGGGAGCCCAGGAGGCGCCTGTGGGCTGGCGTCTGAGCTTCCAGCTTCAGCGTCGAACATGCGAAGGATGCAGAGGAGAAGTGCCGATCACCATTAGCACGAACATGAAAAGGAGGGTCCATGCCCACAAACGCACCACAGCCCACGAGCCTCGAGCGCGCCTGCTTCTCCAGAGACCTCAAGACAGCCTCGCGTAAAAGCTTGCTGACCAGAGCAGAAGCCGAGAGGGCGCGCGAAACCCCTCTTCCGAAGCACCCACGAAATATGCGCTGTCAACCATGCCCCACCCCAGACGCTTCAAGGACATATACATCGCCGATGAATCAGCTCCCCAGGCGAGTCTTCGCTCTGCGCCCCCCTGGAAGACCAGCTCCCAAGACTTCTTGAGTGGCCCAATCAAGACAGCCTCTGGAAAAGGTGGCCCCTAAGCAACCAAACCTCTTCGCAGTAGCGCATGATCGGCACCGCCAGAGCATGCCAAACCGGGCCCCCCTCCAGGGGACTGAGAACTGTCAAAGGCTTGATGCAATATGGTGGCTCACGGCCCTAGCCTTATGCCAGTCAGCCAAACGAACTCCCATGGCCTCCAGGCGGTCCCCGCAGACTCCTACGTGAGTTCGGATCCAGGAAGAGGTCCCCCTGAGCTTCCCGCAAACCCGTTGGCCATCAAGAATTCCCCCCCAAAGCTCCCCCACGACCAAGCTAAGACCCCCAAGAATCACGCACTTTGAAACGATCGCAAACCCATCTTACAGCGCGCAAGATGGGGCACGGATGTCACACGGCAATCAGAACGGATGATAGACTTCCGAGTGACCTCCGAATTCGATCCACGACCGCCTAGATAGGGGAGGTCAGCGCCATCGAACGCGTTCAACTCAATATCCGACTTGTTGACTACCTACCAGACCACCTCAACCCAACCCGAAGACCCGAATTTGACCCGAATTTCGGGTTTGGGGGTGTACGGGTTTTATGTTTCTTCAGTGTTCCCCGACGCCCCCCCACTGGAAATGGAGGGCAAATCGAGGCCTTCGGGTTGGGTTGGGCCCATTTGGTGGGTGGTGACTTTTTAGCCCACTGCACGTACGCCACAAGAACGACCACACCGACTCTCGCCGCCTTCCCCGCCCGCGCAACTGCCTCGCAGTCGTCGAAGAGCTCGCGCCCCCAGGAGAAATCCTGAGGACGA